TTCTTTCTCTCTATCCAGGATCTCCTACATAGATCCCCTTCCAAGTGGTTGACAGTGGTAGCTGGGCACCATCTAGTTCTTCTGGTCTCATAGTCATATAGGCTACAGATCGGGTGGTATATTAGTCACTAAGATTAATCGTTTCCATGAATTTTTGGTTTTCTTCATTCTTCTTTGCTCTGGACAAGGAGAGACCCATAGTTGCATCTAGATGGCAGCTTGCAAGCTTTTAAGATCCCAGTCAGCAAGATGTTTTTAAAAGAGATTCCTGCTGGGGAGAGAAACTAGACTACTTGACATCTAAATTCCTTCCATTTCTAAGAGAAATTATTCTGGGGCTAAAACCTGATTCAGGGTCTACACAAACAAAATAAAACAAACTCTGAAACACTAATTAGGGATAATCTGTAAATTTCCATGTGTTTCTCTCTCTGCTACTCCTACCATGACCAGTAGACAAAAGAAGTCTTCCATGACACACTTTTCTCAGCATTTTCTTGCACTAAATCTTTTTGCTAACTCCTAAAGAATATCTTCGTATCAGATGTGAACTCCTAAGTATAGGTTTTAAAGTGACCATTCATGTCCACCTGCCTGTGTTTCATGTTGCTTAACTCTTCTAGTACTCCCTCACTGGACACCTCTCTTAAAGAACTTGCCTGTGAGTGAGATTGAATTTTATATTACTCATTATTTGGGAAAATAATTTAAGGCTTAAAATATTCTTCTCTTGACATTCATTCCTTTCTGGAAAATGTCCCATAGCAATATTGGGTAATTCTAACTATAGTGTCAATGGCATATCACATTCTTTTATGAATAAATTTTGGAAGGTAAAGAGCTTGAGAAAGGGTAATTTGTGTCTCAATGGAGAAAAAGTTTATAAAAGAAGGCAAAAGGGAAAAAAAGAAGAGAATATGGAAGGAGAGATAAGAAGAATGTGGGAGAGAGGATAAGGAAGGGAAAAGAAAACATTAAGATGAGTGTGAGAAACGAAAATAAATTTTGCTTACTTATCATTTTTCTCAGGCCTATTCTCTAACCTACTCTTCCTGTGGCTGGTTTTTTGAGTCTTTTGGTAAAGAAAAAACAACAACAACAACAAAAAAAATTACCTGACTACTTCACAGGATATTATCATCACTTTGTAGATGGGGAAATTGAAGCTCCGGGTAATTTGTTTAATTTCCAAAGATCACTGGGTAGTTGGAAATAACTCCTTGATCTGCTCTCCAATCAGCTCTGTGAGCAAGTGCTGTCATCCTGAGCTGATGATTCAATAAACACCCAGATGTGTTAATACCTGGATAAAGGAGGAGGTGAGGTTTACAACTGGTACCACTTAAAAAAAGAAAAGAAAAGAAAAGAAATCCAGCAAGTTATTATACCTACTTCTCTCTAGCTCACATTTTTGAGAGCTCTGGTGACATTGGAGCCTAAGGCATTTGACTGCTAACCAGAAGGCCACTCTGAAGGTTGGGCAGTCTACTTCCATAGTGATAATGCCTTGGAAACCCAAAGAGGGGCTGTTATGAGTCGCATCTGATTCCACGGCAGTGGTTGCATCGTATACCAAGAACTTCATATTCATTTCACCAATTAATTCTCACAACAGCACCGTGAGGTAAACATGTTCATGTTGACACTGGGTGTGCACAGTAGAACTGCTCCATAGTGTTTTGAAGGCTGTGACCTTTCAGAAGCAGATCACCCAGGTCTGTCTTCTGAAATGCCTCTGGGTGGGTTTATAGCACCAAACTCTTTAATTAGTATAATTCTACCTATTTGACAAATGAAGAAACCAAAGCTCAGAGGGATTGAATAATGTGCACAGTGCCCACAATTATGAATAAAGGTTCAGCTGGAGTCTGTCTCTACAATATGACTCCATTCACTATTCTCTTTCATTCTTTCTATTTTTTTCAACATTTCCTTCCTTCTCAACTTGCCGGTTAAAGATCAAGATGTGATTTCAAATATGTAATTGATATCAGATGTATTTTCCTGTAAATAAGCAGGTATTTTGCACAAAGAGTGCAGACATATGAGGATTAAGTAAAACAAAGCCTAGGATGGGATGAAAAAAGAAGGAGATCCCTAGCTCTCTGGGGATAAAGAATTATAATTTACCTCTTCAGACAGAATGTGAAAAAGGATGAAAAGTGTCTTTTCCAGTAAACTTCAAATCCCTAAAAAGTGTTTTCTTGCCGTATCTGGTTAGAAGAGGAAAAGCATTTCTGCTGTGGATTTCAGCAGGTAGTCTTGTTTCCATGGGCTGCCTCAAAAAGATATGGACTCAGTAAGAGAAGCCAAACAGTGTAAGTGAGCTGCCTCTTCACCAGACCCAGCTTGTATAAAATATATTACCAAAAGGTTGTCATGCCTACATTCTGAGCACAGCATTTGCACCTAGATTCAGGTTATCATGGTGCAATCAAGTTGCATCAGAATGGTTTTAAATTAGGGCTTACAAACTTCACATAATTTAAGGAAAGGTATAAACTCCTTCCCAAAGTAGCAAGATGAAGGATACCCAAAAGATAATTTTTCTGGGGGCTCGTACCAATATGTCTATCAATGACTCTTTCCTCCACCATTTTCTCTTTATTCTCTCTTACCGATCTTTGTTTGGTTTGTTTTTTTTTTTTTTTTCCCCCTGATCTTGGGATTCTTAGCAATTACTTAATTCCACTGAATAATTTCTAGGCAAAAGTAATTGCTGATGTTTAGATTGCCAAGAGGGCTAAAAGGCTACAAAGAAATTTTGTTTTCATCACTATAATACTCTTTTTAAGTTAGCATTTAAAGTCTTGGAATCTAAAATCTATTTTCTAATTCAATTTACTTCCATATTAATCAACATCAGTGCTCAGAAGTTCATTATCCAAATCCACTTTCTCAATCTTTAAAAGACTGTTTGAAAAAGAAACAACCTATGAAAAGTTAGAAATTGTTGGTGTTATTCTGTATAAGATCAGCTATTGGACAAATAAATGTTAAATAATATGGAGAAACAAACCACATGTCACAAAAACAGCAGTAAATTTAACACGGTGAAATTGAAATATGACTCTTTTATCTGCCTGGGTGAGCACGTTGCTACAAAGAATTATAATTATTTGAGAGGTCGCCAAATATATTCTCTCACAGAAAATTTAAAGCATGTTTTTTCAACCTGTTCTCTCACCTCTATGCTGTCAATTTGAATAACTGAAGTCAGTGTGAAGCAGAAGTCATTAGCCTTCAGATATTCAGAGATCTCAAGCTAATTTTAAAACTTTTGTTTCATTTCTACTACAATGAAAAGACAAATGTAAAATATCTTCTATATATGCAACACACACACATTGATTTTTTTTTTTCTAGGATATAAAGATTCAAAGACTAAATGAGCCAAGATTCAGAAAAATTTAAACTAAAGAATGTTGATTGGTTGTATAAGAAACTCTAAAAAATTAACCTAAGCTTTAGGGAAAGGATTTATATTATAAATATTGTCAATTTTCTACCAGTAATATTAGATTATTGATTGGAGTATGTAAAGATATAGGGTTTTTTTATTTATTTACCTTTATTCTTTTGTGTGTGTTCATAATGGGAGACTAAGATATTATCTAAGCATTTTCAGGATGCTCATTTTTTTGTTTTCCTCTTTTCTGGGCTATGTGTCCTGTCAATCTAATCATCTTTCTGTCATTTTTAGGTATTTCCTTGGTGGCTCTTATTGTTCCTGTTTCTGTTGGGATGTTTGTTAATCACAAGTGGCCCAAAAAAGCCAAGATCATACTTAAGGTAAATGTCTCATGCCATAGGCTGCAGTTAAATGTTCCACAATGAGAATTGAAATTATATAGTTTTTCCATCTACCGAATTATTTTTTCTCATTACATGATTGCCTTCTAGTGGGGCTGCAATTGCACTAGACATGCAATCATTCTTATAGCATGTCCTTCCTTGTCCTTTCCACAGGGAAATTTCTATCCATCCTTTGAAACAATTAATTCAAACATCACCTCATGGTTTTACTCTACTCTATGCCATTCCAGAGGTTTGTTCTTACCTCTGTTCTGCTGTCTCAGAAATATCTTAGATAATGTCTTTTTTCTATCTATATCTATATGGCAGTTTGCTGCAGGGCACTAGCAGATTACAGAGAGACAGAGCAAGTCAGTCCCTGGGTAGAGCAAATGGTTAACTGCTTGGCTACTAACAATAAGGTTGGCTGTTCAACTTCACTTAGAGGTGCCTGCTACTAACAAAAAGGTTGGTTGTTCAACTTCACTTAGAGGTGCCTTGAAAGAAAAGCCTACTGATCTAATGTTCAAAAAGTCATAGCTATTGAAAACTCTACCTACAGTTCTACTCTGAAACATACTGTGTCACCATGAGTGTATGTGTGTGTGTGTGTGCATATATATAATATATATAACAATTCATCCTTTTGCAGCAACCAAATTCCAATTACGTGATATGGCTACAGATAGCTATGAATAAACCAGATACAGATATAGATAAAGAGGTACATTCTGCTCCTCAAGGTACAAAATAAATTAGTTGTATTCCTTGCTTCTCTGGGAGAAAAAAAAAAATGTTGAAATCTCCAAATACTTTTTTAAATGTGAGACGATAAAACAGTAACAGGAACAGCTTATATTTCTAAAGGTCTTTTACTTTGAGATAGTTTTTTATCCATCTTTCTGTTATCATAACAATCATAAAAGGTGATTGGGGACAAATTGCCCCCATCATTTACAAATGAAGAAATTAAAAGGCAAAGTGTTTCATGATTTGCCTGAGGATACAGAGTAGGAGGAATCAGTCAAGGAATCAGAGTAGAAGGCAGCCAGGTCTTCTAGCTCTTATTCTAGTGTGGTTTCTTTTACTTCAAGGACAGTTTGCAAGCCAGACAATCTTCTCCAGGTTAATTGACTACGGATGTATATGCCTGTTATTTTCTTTAAAACTGATACGTGGGGAAAGCATGAGCTCTTTTAGTGGCCTGGATAGTAGCCTTCACACTAGAATTACTTTAAGAGAACGTCTTTATCACTGTCCTGAAGAGAATGGAGACTGCTTTGGCTTCTTCTCAGCTAAACATATTTTGATTTTTTTTGACACATGATTGTTGAGTTTGCTTGTGTTTCTTTTCCAGATTGGTTCCATCACAGGAATCTTCCTCATTGTGCTCATAGCTGTGGTTGGAGGAATACTGTACCAAGGTTCTTGGGTCATCAATCCCAAACTGTGGATTATAGGAACAATATTTCCTCTGGCTGGTTACTCCCTGGGATTTCTTCTGGCTAGGATAGCTGGTCAACCTTGGTACAGGTATGCTGTTTTGATAAATCAAATAGGGAAATTTTTCTGTAGTAGCTGTCAATACCAACAATAAATTCAAAGACCTTCACCTTTAGTAAGCATTGGCCCTATTTCTGAATTGATCATTCTAAACAGACTCATTCATTCCTAAATTATGCAATCCACCAGAAAGGAAATACTGACTGCTTCTTTTTTGATCAAATTCTTCACCCTTGCTCTTCTATTGTCATGCATCCTACTCTTCAAGCAAAGTGACTTTAACAAAAGGAGTTAGGTTGGCCTTGTAATAGATGAAGGTTCCTCCAGCCAGCAACCAAAAAAAAAAAAAAAAAACTCATTGCTATCCAGTCAATCCTGACTCATAGCAACCCTTTTGGGTTTCCAAGGAGGTAAATCTTTACAGAAGTAGATTGCCCAGTCTTCCTTCCTTCTGGTTAGCAGTCATGCTTTAGGCACTACGCCATTCTTCTCCTTCCAGCCCATCTGAATCAATGTTGTTGTTGTTGCTGTCATGTGCCATGAATCAATAGACAGAGAGAAAAGCAGGAGTTGATGTATTCATAAGGTTAAGAAAGAGGTGAGCAGCATTGGACAGTGGAAAGAGGGCAATGTTTGCGTCAGAGAGATTTGAGCTTGGATTCTTATCTTGCCACTTACCAACTGTGGAAACTAGGGTAAGAATTTACTCTTTTTCTGAGTTTTCTTATCTCTGGAATAGGGACAATGATGCCTACTAGCAGACTTTTGATCAGGATTCAGTTAGAAGAACACATCCAACTAAAACAATAAAACAACTACAACAAATATCTTGAATATTTGTTGTACTCCTGCTCTGTGCTCTGCATTGTGACCAAGTACATAATTTAAAAGGGTGAAATAAATTCCCCTTTGTCATTTATGGAATGCTGATATAAATGAGCCTGCTTTACATATATATGTTTAAGTATTTGTTATCAATGGCCTTCCCGATTAAACACTCAACTACTATCTGAAAGGCAGTTGGATACACCCAGAGATGCCTCAGAAGACAGCCCTGGTGATCAGCTTCTGAAAGGTCACAGCCTTGAAAACTCTATGGAGCAGTTCTGCTCTGCACACCCAGGGTCACCATGAAAATCAACTCAGTGGTAGCTAACACTAGCATTTGTTCTCAATATATTTGTTCTTAATGTTATACGAGAATAACACCAATCAAAACAACTACAACAACAAAGCATATATTCTTTTAATATTTCTTTTAGGTGCCGGACAGTTGCTTTGGAAACAGGGATGCAGAATACCCAGCTGTGTTCCACCATAGTACAGCTCTCCTTCACTCCTGAAGAGCTAACTCACATGTTCACCTTCCCACTCATCTACAGCGTTTTCCAATTGGTCTTTGGAGCCTTATTCTTAGGATGTAAGCAGCAATGCTAATTACATTCTATTATGATGTTCTTCTTTGTGAAATCCTAGAGTTGCTTAAAAGGCGTTTTTTTTTTTTTTTTTTTTTTCATTCCCTGTTTCTGTCAGTGGACTGTACAAATAAATGAGAGGAAAAAGCCATCCAAATGCTGATACAAATTTTGTAATTCTACCAAAAGATTCTATTGAAAATATTTTTTAATGAAAAGTAATAGCATTTGCTCTTTCCACTAACTTTGTTTTCCTCAGTAATTAGGAAGGCGTACTAACCTGTTAAGACCTCGTTATTGTGTACCTTCCTAAATGCTTTCAAGGACACAAGACTGACCACTGTGTTGCAAAAGTAAACATGAATAGCCTTGGTGTTGAAGTCCCTGGGTGGTGCGAACAGTTAACATGTCTCAGATGCTAATGAAAAAAAGGGAGGTTTCAGTTCACCCAGAGGCCCTCTGGAAGAAAGGCCTAATGGATGATCTGCCATGGAAACTCTGGGGAGCACAGTTCTACTCTGACACTCATGGGGTCACCTGGAGCTGGAATCAACTCAACAGCAACTGGTATATTTTGTAAATATGTCAGGAAATTGGTATACATAGGATATTTATTAAGCTAAGTTATATTAGACTAAGTTATATTAAATGCCCATATAACTGAAGCAGTTGAAGCAAAAATGTCCTTCATTTAAAGTGCTAGGGAAAGATAACCTGATTCTTAGTTTTACTCTGATGCAGCATATAACTTTGATCCTCTCCCATGTTGACCTCAACCTACATGAAACTCTTCACTATATTCTGTTTTTGTTGGACTGATGATGTTTAACCTATACTTTTACATATCATTTTTAATTAAAGAAACTGTACTTTTTTAAACTTCATGATATTTAAGGGGGAAGGTAAAGTGAAGATGCCTGACAAAAAATAATATGAAATGTTAAGTCATAAAATGCCTGGGCCCATAGTTTTATATTTTTATTTATGTATTTTTTTTACTTTTCTACTTAGTTCCAATAGTCAATTGAGTCACTTGCCCATGAGTCCTAATCAGACTCTACACCAATGTTTCAATTTACTTATTAAAGTATGGCTTTTCTTTCTAGAATAGGACTCATCTATTGGAAATATCTCAATGATTTATCACTATCCCAGAAAATAGAAAACCACTGCCAAATAACTTTTGTTTGTGTGATAGATTTTGCCAAATAATTAATCTGTGTTAGTTACTCACCAAAAACAAACTAAACTCATTGCCATCACAATTCCAACTCATAGGATCCCCACCGAATTTCCAAGGCTGTAAATCTTTACGGAAGCAGCCTGCACTATATTTCTCCTACGGAGCAACTGATGGGTTCGAATCCACCAGATAAGCTAAAAAAAAAAAAAAAAATTGCACTAATTCCCTCTATGATCAGAAATAATACTAGAATGCCTCCATAATCACAAAAAAAAAAAAAAAAAAAGTGGACTGGTTGAAAGAACAATTAAATATATTTGTTAATTGAACAACTAATCCAAGAGGAATTGATTAATTAGTAATCTAGCTGAAGAAATGATGTAAAAGAGGACAGTAGCATTGGTCTTTGGAAGGAAGGTTGGGCAATCTACTTCTGTAGTGATGTTGTTGTTGCTGTTATGTGCCGTCGAGTCAAACCGACTCATAGTGACCCCTCCTTGGGTTTCCAAGGCAGTATCACTACAGAAGTAGATTGCCTCATCTTCCTTCCAGGCAGTGGCTCAGAAACCCAAGGAGGGGTCGTTATGAATCAGCCCGATTTGACAGCACATAACAACAACAACAGTATTGGTCTTGTCTTTTCCCACATTTTATTAGTAGTTTATATGAAAACAAAGAAGTTATCTTTTAAGTGTATACAATGCTTAGAAAAATATTTTAGTGATGTGATTAGAATGCTAACATATTTTGTAACTGAGAGCTACATCAAAAGAAAGGAAGGAAAAAGTAGAGGGAGGTAGAAATAAGATGTTTTGGTTAAATAAAGGGAGGGGTATGAAGTTGAGGGAATCCCAGCTCAAAACTAGTTTATAATAGACATGTTGGATGTTTCAGTTGAGCCCGAGCTCAATTAAATTCAATAGTATGGCTCAGTGGGTTAAAACTAATGTGGTAATAGAAATGCAGGGACCAATCAAAGAAAATACTGATCTTGATACTGATTTTTGAAGCAAGACCTTGTCTCCTTCAACCCTGTATCATAGTGATAATTAACATTTACTGAGCACTTATTATTTTCCATAGGTCATGCTAGGCACTTTACTTTTTTTTTTTTTTTCTCTCATTTTAATGCTCACTACTGACCTATGGGAGTCCTTGGATAGTGCAAGCAGTTAATACTCTTGGCTGGTAACTCAAAGGTTAGAGGTTCAAATCCACCCAGAAGTTCCTCAGAAGAAAGACCTGGTGATCTGCTTCCACAAGGTCACAGTCGTGAAAACCTTGAAACACAGTTCTAACTCTGAAACATATAGAATTGCCATGAGTCAGAATCATCTCAATGGCAGCTGTGTTTTTACTGCTATATGAGATTGATATTATTATACTTACACAGTATTGGAATTTGAAGGGTCCAATTCTCTTTCCCTGTTGAGTTTGGAATCAAGTGACAAGTAGGGGAAAAAAATCAGATATTTAGATAACAAAATGGAACTTTTGCTACTGATACAAGTAGCAAAAGTGCTTAAAATGAAATATATAGCTTGAATTTGAACTCAATGGGTTATTAATACTGCCCTTCACCATCATTGCCTCATACATGTACACATAAACACATACACATACACACACACATACCATAGCCCATTTCCTAGAAGGCAAAGCCTGCCCAAGTAAGCTTACCTCAAAAATAAGCTGGTAAATGGCTGCTGCCAGAGACTATCAGCTCCACTGGAGAGAAGAAGGCTGACGACCAATCAGCTAAGACACACCTTACCCCATGGGAATAAGTGAGTGAGGGCAGCAAAAGACCAGAAGTGTTAGTTTAACTCAAGTCCTTCCACAGAGGAACACTAGGCCAATATTGCACCTTCCCAGATGGCATATTAATTGAGAACTAGCACATTAGTGGGGATATAGTAGATGCTGGATAAATACTTGCTGTTGTTGCTACCATTGTCAAGCATCACTTGGCAGCGCTGAGTGCCTGCAGAAGGCATGTGACTGCCCTAAGCAAATATATCCAAACATCATGTGCTGTGTCTTCCTGATATTCTGTCATCCCTCTTATTCATGGGTAGTCATAGAACTAAGAATGGCGTTTTCTTTTTCCTTAAGTAGCCTATGGTCTAAAGAAAATGCAAACTGATTTAGAGTCATAACCAAAGAAATTTTTCAGCTTATCATGGTCAAATTTAACTAACTTCCTGTGCATTGTTTTCTAGTTTATGTGGCATACAAGAAATGTTATCAGAAAAATAATGAAGAATTTCCAGAGAGCAAAGACAATGAAACAGTGTTTCAGTCATCACACTGTAAGATGAATGGAGGATTTCAACCAGATGAGAAGTAGACACCAATGGACAAAGCAGAAGGATTCTAAAGAATATTCTTCAACTAAAACTGTATTTAACTATTTGCTCTGATGGAACAGTTGGCTGGAAAAAGTTGAAGTGAAATTTTAAATTCTGATTGAATTCATATTTTGAATTCAGTACCTACTGACTGGTGACCCAATTCTTTCATGTGACAAATATTGTTGAAATATATATGTGTTTATAATACAATGCCATTAAACTATGCCAAGAAAATATCTTCAGACAAAACTTTACAGAGGTAACACTGAGGATCTTGTAAATCCTGAACTGAATTCTTACACAGAAATTCAGCACCCAGGGATGAGCACCTTACTTTCCGTATGTTAAAATAGGTGCAATTAATTATTATTACCATAAAGTGACCAAAATTTTCTCTAATATTTATGACTATAAAAAGACTAAAGTGAAAGTCTTTCACCTACATTTTAATCATTATTTTGAAAACTTTGTCATCTATTTATTTATATAACTCTGTAGTATAACATGAGCAAATACATGTCATGTTATATTAAAAAAAAAAAAAAAAAAAAGGCTTCGCCTGTGACAGTCCATAAACAGAAGTGATAAAGAAGAGTTACTAAACAGAATTCAATAACAAAATTGGAATTGGGTCTGTAACTCATCAGGAATACTGTACACCCATTGCTCTACCTCAGAGGTCCAACAACGCCCACTAGATCTTTGAAGGAAAACCAGAATCCTTTCAAATAGTTTGAATTTGGCAAAGAGCTCTTCAAACTCTGTAGAGGAAGTTTCTCAAGTTTTGCCTATAAGAAGCTGGTCCACAGTGGCTAATGTGACAACTATTTAGTTCATAAGAAGAGCTCAGAGTAGGTGTCATGGAGAAAGAAAGTGATAAGAGGCACAAAGACAGAAGTATTAGAAGAAACACAACTACTCTAGTGGGTGAATGGAACTCAGTGTGCAA